AAACAATCAGCTTAATCACGTGACCACAGACGGCGAACTTGAAAGCTTTGAGGGTAAAAAGTCGCTTCTTAAAAAAAAAAATTTGATTGTAATAATTCTCTCCCCTGTTCGGCTTTAAAAAAAATGGGGTTTGTTTGTAATTTTAATACAACTTGGGAAATAAGATAGGGGTTCATTTTCTTTCGTCTGAATAAAAAAAAAAGGGGGGGGGGGGTAGAGGGAAGCTCTCAAGAGAACTAGCTAGTTATACTAGTAACATAAGCAGATTTTCTTTAAGAAAAAAAAAAAGATTAACAATAGGTTGGATTCGGTTGACAATTTTTTTGTATTGTGCTGCTTCTTGTTGTACAAATTTTGTTCAGGCTTCCAGCTGGTTCAACGTCATTGAGACCAGGTTCATTTCCCCGCACCCCACCCCCCCCCCCCCCCACTTCTTGCGCCGACTGCGGGATGGTTGCAGGTGCGTGACGTCACGTGCAGGGGCGGAGTCTTTGGTCTAGAGATGAGAATGTCTAGGATGGGTGGGGGGGAGTTATTTTGTCATTTTGTTTCTGAATTAAAAAAAAAAAGAAATTGAAATATGTGATTGAAATGAGTATATAACATGTAATTGAAATGAGTATATAACATGTCATTTGGTGAGTGTATAACATGTCATTTGGTGAGTGTATACCATGTCATTTGGTAAGTGTATAACAGGTAATTCGGAGAGTGTATAAAATGTCATTTGTTGAGTTTACGACGTGTCGTTCGGTGAGTGTTTAACATGTCATTCATTGAGTGTATGATATGTCATTCGGTGAGTGTATAACATGTCATTCGGTGAGTGTATAACATGTCATTAGGTGGATGTGTTACATGTCATTCGATGAGTGCATAACATGGCTTTCGGTGAGTGGGTGACATGTCATTTAGTGAATGTATAAAATGACATGTATATTGTAAGTGAACACAGATTAATTTAGCGACGATGTGAATAGGTCCGGAACATTCCTTTTCGATGAAACATGAGCGTAGACGTGAAATCTAACAATGAACATAATTTGGGCGGAGGTGAACACGAGTTTCTTTTTTCAGACTCCTGTTAGGACGCTTGAATTTTCATTGGGGTGGGGTGGGTGGGGAAGGTGGGTGGGGGCGACACTGGTAAAAATGTATCAGATTCTCTTAAATCAAAGTATATATTTTAAAATAGAAATGTAGATATATATTTTTTTAAAATTGTGTTCGGGGTCTGGGTAGTGGAAGTTCTCTTGGCGAGTGTGTATGTGTATGTGGTGTATGTGTGTGTTTGTGTGTGTATGTGTGTGTATGTGTGTGTATGTGTGTGTATGTGTGTGTGGGGGGGAGGGGAGTGTCGACAAATTCCAAGTGCGCCCCCCCCCCCCCGCTCGAACCCTGCAACGGTATCGACGACCAGTTGTAAACGAGTTGAGTTAAAGGTGGAGGATGAAACTAAATATAGGGTGTTGTAGACATTTAATTGTAGCGTGTTCTTGGATGGACAACGGCTATCGAAGCAAATCTAAAATAAAGAAAATATGCTGAAATCGGAGTCAACGACGCATATCAAGTTGACACATAATACTTGATTGTGTTTGCTGGAAATACCGTCCAACATTGCAACTAGGAACGAAGAAGGAAAAGACAATTTTTAAAATAGTTTAAAAAATAAATAACTAACTCATAGGTGTTGTTTATCAACTTGGAATTATTAAATAATAGAAAATAATTGTGTGCATATATATATATATATATATATATATATATATATATATATATATATATATATATATATATATATATATATATATATATATATATACGACACACATACTCGTGTCATGTTTAAAACACATATAGGCCTACAGTAATCGTTTCTGTGAGTCACCATTATGTGCGTAGCAAAAAAAAATTTTTATTATAAAATAAAATACATTTAAAAAAAAATCTTTTAATTCTCTTTATGCCAGTTTTATTATCTATATCCCCGCAAACGTGTCTTGACATTTCCTCCTTAATTAACTTCGCACTACATAACCCCGGTGTTTTAAAAAAAAATATATTTTGTAACGAAAATATTTCGCCGCATAATTAGCCTGTAAGAAAAGAAAAGAAAAAAAAAACTCCTTTGACTTTGTCACTAGTAACAAGCATACATTAATATTCCTACACGTGTGAACACGAAAGAGACGTGTAAGACGTTTGTTCGCCTGTATACATCCGCAGATCTACCTGGTACTATTTTTTCTCTCCCCTCTTAGCTCCCCTGGACGCGTAACGATGTACATCCGGTTGTAGGTGACGCGGCCCAATAAATATGTTCCCAACATTGGCAGGCGGACAAGTACGGTGTCCGCTTCAGTCATGCCCCGGCGGAGGGGAGACGATTAAAAAATATGAATCTTCGTATGTCGGACATGTTTCATACCTCCCCCACCCCCCTTCCCCGCTTTTTACCCCTCCCCTTACTACTAGCGGCTTGTTACTGTCTAAGGGAGTTGTAAAACTATTTCTTCTGCCTTCTTCTGCTTCAGTGGTTAAATTAATGAGCGGATTTGTCGTTCCTTGCTCTTGTATGTGTGAGTTGGGGAAAGAAAAAAAAAAGGGGGGGGGGGGGAGGACATTTAAGACTTCACAAGTAGAACACCGTACGTATATGAATAAACGGAGTTGGACGGAAAAGAAAAAAAAAAACATACAAGCTAGCGCTGGGATGATTTAATGAGAAACATGTTAACTACACCTCCATCTTTAGAAATAAAATTATGAAAGGTTTCATTCCCCCTTACCTTGTAGCGCAAGTCTCCGGCGTGTTTTTTTTTTTTTTTTTTTTTTTGGGGGGGGGGGGGCTTTACATCAGCTGTAAAGGGGTCTGTACAGGGTTGTAAAGGAGTGACTCACGCCCGCGTCACTTGGAGGTTTTTATTTTTTAAGTTCATAAATAATTAGTGCCGCGGAGCATTTGCCTGTCAGAGGGGGGTCGGGAGATGGCGGAAGTTTTATGGACGCTGTGAAAAATATCAGGTGAATCTTGAAGATACGGTGACGTTGGCTTAATCCAGTGGGCCACCAAGGTGTTAAATTCACAGAAAATTTAGGCCACCTAAGTCTTACAAATGAAGCAATTTTGGCCATCTAAGTGTTTAAAATGAATCAATTTTGGCCACCTAAGTGTTAAAAATGAAGCAATTTTGGCCACCAAAGTGTTACAAATGAAGCTATTTTGGCCACTAAAGTGTTAAAACCGCAGCAATTTGGGTCACCAAAGTATTGAAATCGAGGTAATTTGGGCCATTAAAATGTTTAAATCGAGGTAATTTGGGCCACCAAAGTGTTAAACCCGAGGTAATTTGGGCCACCAAAGTGTTAAAATCGAAATAATTTGGGCCACCAAAGTGTTAAAATCGAGGTAATTTGGGCCACCAAAGTGTTAAAATCGAGGTAATTTGGGCCACCAAAGTGTTAAAATCGAGGTAATTTGGGCCACAGATATGTTCAACAACAAACAATTTAGACCATAATTTGTTTAAGCATCCAACCGCTGAATCACATACGTGTGTGGCGTTCAACAATTTAGACCACAACATTTGAACTACAACATTCAACAATTGAAAGTCAAGTTTTCTTTCCTGACCTGACCATTCGGGTAAGCGAAGTAGAGTTCACCTGTTTCTGTGATCTCGGCATATGAAGGGATAGTATTGTCAGCACTATACATAGCCGTTTTTATTTTCCCTAACGTGAGGTAAGTACCCACCAGAGCTGGGTGGACTCAGGGACGTTCTATTGACTTGGACCCGGTTTCGAACTACAGTATAGACCACAACATTTCGACTACAAATTACTAACTTAAATACAGAACAAGAGCTCACAAAACTTATCAATATTAAGAAAAACAAAAATTTCTGATTACTCAAAAACTCAAGAAACAAAAATGAAGCATCGCTATAAATATAATTTTTTTAAATGTGTATTCCTGAAATAGATTAACAGATTATGAAGAAGAACTAATATAGTTTATTTCAAAAACATTATATCTTAAAAACGTGAAACCTTTTTTTTTTTGAAGAAAGTATGTCTTTTGAATAAATATTAGTTTTGTAAAAACCTTAACTATTTTTAAAAATCTTAAGTCTTTAGTCTAAGCATGCAAGATACGTTTTGGCGACGCCGCATTTAGGGGAGATCTGCTGTAACGAACGTTCCACGTTCAGATCTCCGGGCAGTTTTTTCCAGGCATATCTTCGGGGGGGGGGGGGGGGGTGCAAATCGAAAAATTTGTCTCCGGGCGCTGGGAAGGGTCGCTACGCCTCTGGGGGGAGGGAGTATACAGCCCCCCCCCCCCCATACGTTATTAAACTTATATAGAAAATATATTTTTTATCAGTGTTGACAGGGGAATAATAATGTTGGAGAAGATTCATTCAATGTTACAATGTTACAATGTTACAATGTTACAATGTTACAATGTTACAATGTTACAATGTTACAATGTTACAATGTTACAATGTTACAATGTTACAATGTTACAATGTTACAATGTTACAATGTTACAATGTTACAATGTTACAATGTTACAATGTTACAATGTTACAATGTTACAATGTTACAATGTTACAATGTTACAATGTTACAATGTTACAATGTTACAATGTTACAATGTTACAATGTTACAATGTTACAATGTTACAATGTTACAATGTTACAATGTTACAATGTTACAATGTTACAATGTTACAATGTTACAATGTTACAATGTTACAATGTTACAATGTTACAATGTTACAATGTTACAATGTTACAATGTTACAATGTTACAATGTTACAATGTTACAATGTTACAATGTTACAATGTTACAATGTTACAATGTTACAATGTTACAATGTTACAATGTTACAACTAAGAAAATCAATTAATAAAAAAATGTGCCCTTCTCATTAAACTAAAGCGTATTTAGATGTATATATTTAATTATTCTAAACGTGTCTTGCCCCAGGTACCAGATCATGAGGAAGTGTTGGCTGGCAGACCCAGGTTCGAGACCCACCTTCACCGACTTGTCCGAGTGGTTGCACCAGATGATCACAGACAACGAACACTCGTTCGACATCACAATGGTACTGTGTCAGGATTTGTACAATGTAAGCATAGCTGTGTACAATGTAAGCATAGAGCTTTACAATGGAAGCATAGACGTGTTCAATGTAAGCATAGAGTTTTACAATGTAAGCATAGACTTGAACAATGTGAGCTTATACGTGTACAATGTAAGCGTAGACTTGTTCAGTGTAAGCATAGACTTGGACAATGTAAGCATAGACTTTTACAAATTAATTACAGTATAGGTTGATATTACTTTGATATGCCAATAGGTATTAAGTTTACCTCCAAAATGTCGTTCACATTATCACGAATAACAAACCAGAAACCTGCCCCGCCTCCCGATACCTCTGTTAAATAACCAAACTTGTTCCTTATATTAACACGTTTTTCAGCATTTTTTTTTTCCTGACAAGAAAATATGCGCCACATTTTGAAAATCCCTCACACTTGACAAGGAACATAACCATCAGAGTCGTAGCTACCTATTACGGCGCCCCTGGACCAACTGGACCCCTTCCCTCACTTGTACATGTCGGCGAAAGCGCCCCAATCCCTACCCCATTTAGAAATGTTGGAGACGTTTTTTACTAGCCGCTGTCATTTAAGAGTTGTTGTTTTTTTTTTGAAGTCACACAACTGATATGGAAAAAAAAATTAATCAACCTGGAAAGTCAATACTATCTATCTTAACTATGTGTACAGTACAGTAATGAAGTTCAAAATGAGTTTTTTTAATAATATAATTTCTAACCCATTCGGTCCCCCATATTTTTGTCGCCAGGGCGGCCGCTAAACCCCCCCCCCCCCCACCCTTTCTAGCTACGCCTCTGATCACTGTAATCATTTTCCCCGTTTTAACAAATGCATATATTTATTGGCTACCCTTTAACAAATCGCTTAAACTTCCGTTTTGTAATTTAATTTGTTTATCCAAAAAGGGAGATCACTCTAGTTTTATTATTCCACAGACCGACCCGGAAACCGTGGCTGACGTCGAGACCCGGATATCTCCCCAGCTCTCCAGCACCTCCTCCACGCCGTACCCGACGCTGGACGCCTGCCGGACGCAGCACCAGCTGTCGGAGGCGTACCCCACCTCCCTGTCCGACGACTCCGGGTACCTGAGCCCGCAGAAGGAGAGTGTCTCCAGTAGTGAGACGACCTTCAGGACCACTCTGGGGTCGGACGAGGGGAGGCAATCGTCTTCGTCGCTGTCGTCGGCGATGACGATGAAGGCGTCGGGGTTCGGCGCGGACGTCATCAACGATGACGTGTTCTACGACGACGTCTCGAGCGCCGCCGCGTTTCCGAAACTGATCCGTTTCGAGAAGCGGAGTGAGAATGTCGACGTGGTTGAAAAAGTGGAGGAGTTTCGACCACGGGATGAAGCTGGGGTTTTAGTCAGAAGTAAATCATGGACGATCGCAACCCCGCCCACATCGTGCCGGTCACTTTCCCGACAGTCTGCCCGTAGATGGAGCGACGGGAATCTGCCTGGCATATCCGCTAAGCAGATTACAACTTCTGCCCACGAGACCAACAGCTCTGACGCTAAACGTGCACTGTTTTGCGACAACCTTAACACTAGTTTTGTCGAAAAAGTTGTTCCAATCACGGACATTCCCACAACGAGTATTCCTAAAACGAGTATTCCTAAAACGAGTATTCCTAAACTGGATATTCCTAAAACGGATATTCCTGAAATGATAATTCATAAAACGGATATTTCTGAAATGATAATTCCTAAAATGGAAATCCTTGAAATGATAATTCCTAAAATGGATATTTCTGAAATGATAATTCCTAAAATGGACATTCCTGAACCGGCAGTACCCGAAACGAGTATTTCTAACACGGCCGTTCCCAAAACAGGAGAGAGAGTCAGGCGAAAAGCGGTCGCCTTCCCGCCGTCTCATTCCTTCTACAACCAGTTGTATTTCAGCGGGAATTCCCGAAGGCACCTCCCGCCCGTGGTTAGGGTGTCTCGAAAATCCAACAAAATTTCTCCCCTCGATGTTGGAGAAACGGAAAAAGAAGAAGACTTGGACGATGAAGTTTCGTTTAGAGACCAGCTCTGGGGTAACCAAAGGTCAGCGACCTTGAGATCGCGAGACTTCAGAAAAGTTCATGGAGATCCGTATCAGTGCAGTAAACTGAACCCGGAAGTCCGAAATACGAGGACCACTCTGCTAAATTTAGACGCGGGCCGCGAGACTCAACCATCATGGCGCGAGCCGTTATTCGAGAGCCAACACGAGGAACATTCTGGAAGTTCTGAGATCAGTTTCCAAAAAGATGCGGACCCTGAGCCGTCTGCGAAAATTCCCAAGAAAAATCAGAATTTTCTGAGAACGTTGTCGCCGAGGCTTAGAAGAAACTTTCCAAAAATGAAATCTAGAACGTCCTCGTTGTTAGATTCGTCATGTACGCCTTGGCATCACCCGTATGAGGATTTTAAAAGCATCATCTCCCAGCATGCAATTCTCTCAGACAACCCGCAAGAGAATTCCCATGACGACGACGAGGCGACCCAAGGGAACGAACTCTCGAGACGGAAGTCGAATTTAATGCGAAGTTTTTCAGACGAGGCGGGGTATTTTCTCTCCGATGGGTGTCTGTCACGTGATCAAGGTCAAGTGGACATGAATCGAAGGTCATCTGATCCGGTTCAGTTACAGGTAATGTAATAGTTAGTGACTGGTCAGTGTTCTTCTAAAGTCACGCTTTTTGTTACTTGCTTTTATCATCATGGCTGATAATGTTTAAATAACTTATTAAATTATAATTAAAACAAGTGCTAAACATTTCAAGACAACCACACATGTGTCAACATCAACACACGTGTAAACATTAACACACGTTTCAACATCAACACACGTTTCAACATCAACACACGTTTCACCATCAACACACGTTTCACCATCAACACACGTTTCAACATCAACACACGTTTCAACATCAACACACGTTTCAACATCAACACACGTTTCAACATCAAAACACGTTTCACCATCAACACACGTTTCACCATCAACACACGTTTCAACATCAACACACGTTTCAACATCAACACACGTTTCAACATCAACACACGTTTCAACATCAACACACGTTTCACCATCAACACACGTTTCAACATCAACACACGTTTCAACATCAACACACGTTTCAACATCAACACACGTTTCAACATCAACACACGTTTCAACATCAACACACGTTTCAACATCATTGTGTCAAAATAAATATGTTAGCATCCCCCTACTTAACACCCTTACCAATGCTAAATAATTGCTACATGTACTATACAAGTTCGTATACAGCTACACCACATACACTATCTACCCGACATTCACCATTACCACTGTCAATAACTAAATTATAAATACTTACATTCCCCCACTAACTACCCATTACTTTTATTACATTAACTCTTCAACGACCAAATTATTTTTAATTTTTTTTTAAATTTTCCACCCAGCACACCCCGTCTCTCTGGTCACCAGACCACTCACCTCAGCACGTGCATGCACGTGAGACCACAGACCACGAGCCGGACGACTGGCCAGGTACTCCACCGCACGAGTTAGGCCCACACGTCAGGTGGCAGACGGGCACCGCCTCGCCCCCTCGCAAGAGGGCGCTGTTCCCCAACGAGAGGCACCCGGCTGTTTTGTACCTTGTGGGAAACACCCTTAACTCGTCCAGCAACTAGACACCTTAACACCATTAACTCTATCAGCAACTAGACACCTTAACACCCTTAACTCATCCAGTAACTAGACAACATAACACTATTAACTCGTTCAGTAACTAGACACCTTAACACCCTTAACTCATCCAGTAACTAGACACCATAACACCATTAACTCGTTCAGTAACTAGACACCTTAACACCCTTAACTCGTCCAGTAACTAGACACCATGACACCATTAACTCGTTCAGTAACTAGACACCATAACACCCTTAACTCGCCCAGCAACTAGACACACAAAACACCCTTTATGCTACCATCAACTAGACACCTTAACACCATTTACTGGACTAGCAACTAGACAACGTATCACCTTTAACTATACCAGCAATTAGACACCTTAACACCCTTAACTCTAACAGCGACTAGACACCTTAACTCTACCAGCAACTAGACACCTTAACACCCATGACTGTCAGCAACTAGACACCAAAACGCCCTTTATGCTACCTGCAACTAGACACCTTAACACCATTAACTCTAACAGCCATAAGACACCTTAACACCCATGACTGTCACCTGCTAGATACTCCAAAACACCCTTTATTCTACAAGAAACTAAACACCTTAACACCTTTTATACCAGCAGCTATAGACCATAACACCCTTAACTCTACCAGCAGTTATAGACCATAACACCCTTAACTCTACCAGCAGCTATAGACCATAACACCCTTAACTATAAAAGCAACAAGACTCCTTAACATCTTTCTATCAACTAAACAGCTTAATAAACTTAAGTAAACAAAACGTAAACAAAAAGTCAAGTCACATTAACAGTTTCCAACTTTCAAGCATTCAGACACATTAAAACCACTCGATAAACAAGCCAACAGACACATAAACATCCTTCTCTCGTCTAACTAACACCTTAAAACCCTCTAATCTACAACCAACCTTAACACCAGCGTACTTGCAACCAGTCACCTATATAAACACCTTAACACCATTTTAAATTCTAAAGCAATGTAATCACGAAGAAACAAAAAATGGTAACGTTACTAGTCATTAGATACCTAACACATTTACCAATAGAGCAACTCCTTTAGTAAAGTACACACATAAAATAAAGTGAATAAATCATAAATATGATCAAAGATTCACTCTTGTTTTTTTTCTGTTTTTCTACACACACATTTTCTGTGATGGGACCTCCCTCCCCCACCCCCACCCCCCCAGCCCCAATGGTTACGCCCCTATTCTATTTTACCTCTCCCCACCTCACCAATTACATACATCCCCGAACGCCCTCCACAACGCCCAAAGCCAGCTTCAATTTGATATAAAGACTGCAATTAAAAACATATAAGCTGAAATTATGTTCTACGTATGCCACAATACCCCCCTCCACACACACACACACCCTTACCTTTGGCCGGTTATAAATATAAAAAAAATAAAACCTTGATACAATAGCAAGTTGAGATTTGAGGCTAATCATAATTTGTACCCAACACTGCGTCAAAAAAAAAAAGTTTACGTTCAACATTGGACTCGTCCAAGGTTGATCCGCGCTCAGACTCAACCCTGCGATCCCCCCTCGGATAATGGACTCGCCCACGGCCCCGGCTCTATCCGCTGTTGTTCCTACCCGAGACATCGAAACCACTTTTGACTCTCGGGGTAAAACAAACACGGGCGATGATTGAGTGCTTTCGGCCCGCTGGCTGAGATAATTTGAACAGAGTAAAGAAAACTCCTAGAAGAAAGAGCTCCGGTGTTTGAATAGAGTAGTGCCCCCTTATACAGTAACGCCCGTAAAGGCGGCGCAAGGGGGAGGAGGGGGGTAGAGGGGGGAAGTTGGAGAGCCGCGTTAGCCAACATAAGGGAGACAAGCCGGTGTTTATGAATGAGCCAGCCGTGTAGGGAGCGACACGACGATGTGACGGGCGACCGGCCCGAGTACTTCAAACAAGACGCTCAGGGCTTCGCGGAGCTCAGAGCGTCATTGGACCCTGCGTGCTAATGCGGTGTTGTCTCAGAAATTCGTTGGAATGAGGGGGAGAGGATGGAGTGGGAGAGGTGGTGGTGGTGGTGGTGATCGTGATAGGAGTGGTGGTGGTGGTGGTGATAGTAGTGGTGGTAGTGATGATGGTGGTAGAGGTGGTTGTGGTGGTGGTGGTTGTGGTGGTTGTGGTGGTGGTGGTTGTGGTGGTGGTTGTGGTGGTGGTGGTTGTGGTGGTGGTGGTTGTGGTGGTGGTGGTGATAGTCGTCGTGATAGTAGTGGTGGTGGTGGTGGTGGTGATAGTCGTGATGGTAGTGATGGTGGTGGTGGAGGTGGTGGTGGTGGTGGAGGAGGAAGAAAAGGAGGGAAACAAACCTCATGAGCATTAGAGTACCTAGCTCGTTTGGAGGAGCTAAACAAAATCTTGAGTAGATGCGACTTTTCAATGATGTGGGTCAACTCTAAAGTCGATTACTTGAGGGCGGGGGTCAACTCTAAAGTCGATTACTGTAGAACGTGGGTCAACTCAGAAGTCGATTACTTGAGGAAGTGGGTGAACTAAGAAGTCGATTACATTAGAACGTGGGTCAACTCAAAAGTCGATTACTTGAGGAAGTGGGTGAACTAAGAAGTCGATTACTTTAGAACGTGGGTCAACTCAAAAGTCGATTACTTGAGAACTTGGATCAACTAAAAAAGTCGATTACTGAGGACATGATCAAGAGCGGTTTTTAATTTTATGTAGATATGTGCCGACAGTCAATTCTCGAAGGTTGTTGACGTGGGTTTAACAGACGACTGTCCGAGGCTTTGGCGAGAAGGCGATTTCTCGAGGGCAAAGATCAAAAGTCGATTAAGTCATAGTCTTAAAATTTAAAAATCCGGCTCGCTGAAATTTGAAACGAGTACTTCCTGTCTGGTCAAGTGATTAGGGCGTTGTTTACCCCCCCCCCCCCCCACACACATAAACACTGTACGTAAACTCTGCGCAGACTTCCAAACATAGGCCACCCAATAGTCCCTCTAAGGGTGAAAAGCTAGCGTGCAAAACGTATTTTCTGTGCGCGCTGTTCTAAAAGTCTTATACAAGGATGTATTTATTTTACAAAATCACTGCGCGCCATCTCAAAACTACTGCGCGGCCGCGCAACCGCGCAGCATAGAGGGAACACTGAGGCCACCAACAAATGTTAGTGATATAAGGCGGGTATAAACGTTAGGGAAAGCTTGGTGTTAGAGTGGAGAGTATTTGAACTAGAAGATTTCGCAACAATAGACACTTCAAGGGAGACTACTCTCAGTACTCAACACAACCCAAAATTAAGCCCAACTTCATTTCTAATCACGCGAAGACAAGCTTCCCTCCTTACCAACGTCAATAAAATTTTGAAAAACAAATTTTTTTGCAAAATAATGTTTTAAGTTAAAAGATAAACCCCTTAGGAAAGGAAGTTGATATTTTCATCTCGTCGATGAAAGAAGTAAGCACGAACGTCAATGCGAATAATTCAACGGTTCACTCATATAATACAACACTTCACTCACAATATAGATCTGGATTTTTACTCATATAAATAAAACACAACAGTTCACACAAGGAAAAGAATGGAATAATTCAGTAATAAAAAATGCAACCGTTAAAAATCACAACGATATTTGCAAGTGTTCCATATACTGAAATGTTACGAATAAAATAAACACGTTTGTTACATAAAATGAAAAAGTAAGGGGAGGTAACAATGGAAATGTGTGCAAACAATAACGACGGAGTTATCTAGTAATAGATATAGTAAATCACTTTTGCATATTACAAACATTGACATTAACGAAAAACAAAAATAATAATTGATGACATTTTTTTCTTTAATTATCAATTTATAACTTTTGTTTATATATACCCATATAACTGACAGTGTTTAGAAATAAAGCCATTACAAATGTCACATGTGTATGCTTTATCTTTACTTTAATTTAAAGGATAGCTAATGCATGAAGCAATCCATAGCTCAGTTTACATTTGCACATACAAGTTAAAATTTACACTTGCTTATTTATTGTTGTGTCTTTTTTTTAATGTTCAAACAATGGACTGTAATGTAGCGTCAGTAGTATTTTCAAGCTGCCCATCTTATCCACATTTACCCCATTGTGTCCACATTTACCCCATCGTATCCACATTTACCCCATTGTGTCCACATTTACCCCATTTTGTCCACATTTACCCCATTTTGTCCACATTTACCCCATTGTGTCCACATTTACCCCCATCGTAAGTAGTATATTAGGTCCCTTTTGGGTCGTATGGGTGAGGGGGATGCGGATGCGGATGCGGATGCGGAACAAAGGCTATATAGGAAAATACTCGGATGCGGATGTACAATGACATATAGCAAAATACTCACCCACCTGGGTGGAGTGGGTGATGCGGATGTACAACGACATATAGTAAAATACTCCCTGGGTGATGCGGAGGTACACCGACATATAGTAAAATACTCACCCACCTGGGTGAGGGTGGGTGAGCAGGATGTACAATGAGATATAGTAAAATACTCACCCACCTGGGTGAAGGTGGGTGAGGGTGGGTGAGCAGGATGTACAATGAGATATAGTAAAATACTCACCCACCCTAGGGTGGGGGATGCGGATGCGGAGTAGGTCAGTAGGTCACCTTTTGGTGACCTTGTGACGTAATCATTGACCTTGTGACGTCATCATTGACCTTGTGACGTAATCATTGACCTAGTTACGTAATTTTAATGCGTTTTTAATGAGTTTTAATGAGTTTTTTTTTTTTTTTTTTTTAAATTTTAATTAGTTTCTATTAACGAGTTACGTAATTTTAATGAGTTTTTTAATGAGTTTGAATTTAATTTTGTTTGTTTACTTGTTTATTTTAATTACTTTGTTTATATTGTGTAATTTTTATTAACGAGTTACGTAATTTGCTTATTTGTTTGATTTTAATTAATTTGATTTTAATTACTTTGTTTGTATTTTTATTTTGTTTATTTTTAATTTTATTTTATAATTAGTTTGAATTTTATTTAAATTTTTAATTTTTTTAAATTTTATTTTATAATTAGTAATTATTTTAATTTGATTATTAGTTTGAATTTCATTTTATTTCTTTGATTTTACATTTTTTAAATTTGTTTATTTCTTTTCTTTGTTGTTTAATTTGTTGGTTTGTTTATTTACTTGTATGTATGTTTAATAGTAAACGGATAGGGGTGTTGGTGGATGAGAGGGGGAGTAATGATGGGGTTTGAGGGTAGGGGTGCGTTAGCGTGTACTTTGTGAATAACATACATTAACAACACCTGTTACTCGCTAATGGCACCCGGCACGTATCGATTCACCAGCAAAGTTTTTCTTTTTGTGAGGGACCGTACACTGTCCGAGTTAATTTTGGTCACACCCACTGGACCATCATCAACTTGATAGCCCACCTAATTAAATTTTTTGACACCCGTCATTGATTTATGTGGGTTCGCGAAGCGATCCCACCGGGAGGTATGGTAATTAACGCGAAGCCAGCGTTAAGTGTGGGAACATCTGTTACCACGTTAATCGATTTTACCGATCGCTTTGTTAGCTCCGCGAAGTACATAGGTCATTATGCAACAGCTGTTGTGCGACAGCTGGTGGTGTAATTAGGTTGAGCAACCGGACATTACCTTGTTGGTTTTCTAGTACGCGTTTGCTACACGTATATACACACACACACACACACACATACACTAAATTAGAACAAAAATCTTCTTATATTTTATTTGTTTATTAACGTTTTTCCAATTCATCAAAGGCTTTTAAAATTTCATCCTGTAAACTCAACAGGCGCTCAAAGCAGACGCGACTCATACTAACACCAGAATTTGTAGGAAAATTAAGATCGGTCCCATCTATAAGCTCTCTAAGATTTAAAGTGTTTTTGTTCATGAATTGGCTAACAATCGCCAATTTAAATCCGGTGTGATTCATCGTTCGTATTTCCGTCACTTTATTGTTACTCCTGGCCACAAGTATCCAATCTTCATTAGACATCTTGAAATAATCTTTTATAATTAG